ACAATCACATTCTCCAACTAGGGATTCATGTTCTCCAACCGAAACACATTCATAGCTGAGAGTCAACAATCACATTCTCCAACTAGGGATTCATATTCTCCAACCGAAACACGTTCATAGCTGAGAGTCAACAATCACATTTTCCAACTAGGGATTCATATTCTCCATCCGAAACACGTTCATAGCTGAGAGTCAACAATCACATTTTCCAACTAGGGATTCATATTCTCCATCCGAAACACATTCATAGCTGAGAGTCAACAATCACATTCTCCAACTAGGGATTCATGTTCTCCATCCGAAACATGTTCGTAGCTGAGAGTCAACAATCACATTCTCCAACTAGGGATTCATATTCTCCATCCGAAACACGTTCGTGGCTGAGCGTCAACAATCACATTCTCCAACTAGGGATTCATATTCTCCAACTGAAACACCTTCATAGATGAGCGTCAACAATCACATTCTCCAACTAGGGATTCATATTCTCCATCCGAAACACATTCGTAGATGAGCGTCAACAATCACATTCTCCAACTAGGGATTCATATTCCCCAAATGAAACACCTTCATAGCTGAGAGTCAACAATCACATTCTCCAACTAGGGATTCATATTCTCCAACCGAAACACATTCATAACTGAGCATCAACAATCACATTCTCCAACTAGGGATTTTCCTGGTAGAAATTCCGGTAGCTTACTTACAATTTTTGCAAGATAAGAATGGAATGCGCTTTGGGTTTTTAATCCGCCGCGCTTCTCTTTCCAATCTCAACCTCCTTTGCCTTCCCCTTTAGACGGAGGGCCTCGCTCGGCCGGCTGGCGGGAGCATGGCGGGGACAGCCGCCGGCGGAAGTTCGACTTCGACTTCCGGGAACGCGAGGAGGAGCCGCGGGGAGGACGCCGCCATCGGCAGAGCAGCGACAGCTTCGAGGAGGAGAAGGACGGCCTGCCCGAGTGGTGCCTGGAGGACGAGGAAGAGGAGATGGGCACGTTTGACTCCTCGGGGGCCTTCATGTCCCTCAAGGTAGGGGCTGGGGTGGCATCTGCAGACCCTTCCTGTTCTGACCCAAACCTTGTTCCAAGGAATCGAAACACCAAACCGAGATAGAAGCAACATCTTTTTAAGGCTTGAAGGGCAAGAACTTCTTTGCTTCCTGCAAAGAACTCCGGTCTCTCAGGCTGGCTTTTATCCCTTTTAGACTAGAATGTCCATGAGGCTGAGTTTCAAAACGTCTTTGCTTCCTGCAAAGGACGTCTGCTTCACAGCTGGCTTTTATCTCCTTGAAGGAGGGGGCCATTCCCTTGCAACCTTCCTCCCGAGTCGCCCTGTGGCGGCTGCAGCTGCTGAGGGTGCCAACTGGGCAGCATCCGGAGTTTGGCCGGTGCCAAGGAAAAGTCAAAATCAACCAGAGTAGAGCTGGGTGGGACCTTAGAGGTCTTCTAGTCCAGATCCCCCCCCCCAAGCAGGGGGGGGGCTTGTGAAGCAGGCGGGCCGAGCCCGTGGTGCGAAATCCTCCCCCTTGTCCACCCCACCTTTTCTGCAGAAGAGCCCCAAAGAGCTGGCGGTGGAGGAGCAGGAGCTGACTTTCCAGCCGCTGCCGGAGGAGCAGGAGGAAGAGGAGGCGGAGGAGCAGCCGCCGGAGGCCAAGGAGGGCAACCCCAGAGAGGGGCCCGTCAGCCCCACCGCCGTGGAAAGGGTGGAGAGAGGTGAGGGCAATGGTGGGGGGGTTGGGGTGGCAGCCCCCTGGACGGAGAGAGACTGGCCGGGGGTGGTCAGCGACCGCCGTCGGGGGGTTTGGAAGCTGAGGCCTTCCTTCCTTCCCCTCCCTCCAGATCAAAAGGACCCCCGGCTCGGCCCCGAGGAGAAGAAGCTCCCCGCTCCCCCGGGCACCCCGTGGCAGCCCAGCCCTCCCTTCGTTCCTCTCGCCATCAACGCCGCCAGCAACTGTGAAAACATCGGGCCGGGGAACTCTTCCAAAGCCGAAAAGCTAGCGCTGCTGTCCTCTGGCAACCCAGAGGCCGAGGCGGTGGATGGTAGGTGACCCTGGCCAAGGTAGAAGCGGGGTGGGTGGGGGGAAGCTTTTCCCGCTCACGGGGCGGGGGGGGACACAGTGCAAGGGTGAACTCGGTCTCGTTGACGCCCTCTTTGTTCTCCCCACCTGCCTAGGGGACCCGGGCCCTCTCGGCGGCCCGGCCCAGCCCACCCCGTCCGCCGTCCCCCCGCTTCCCGTGGCCCCGCCTGCTGCTCCTGCCGCCGAATTCACCGTGGGCGACAACGAGGACGAGGACGGGATGAAGCACCTGCAGCAGGTAAGGATTGTCCACCGGGGGGGGGCGAGGTTGCTGTGGGATGGACCAGCAACGCCACGTCCCTCCCCTTCCTGGGCCAGGAGGGGGAGGGGCTTCCGCCTGCTATCCTGGCACCGACGGGTTTGCCATTGGGTTGCTTGGCCAGGTAAGAAGGGATGCCAGGTAATTGTAAGAGAGAGACACACACACCACACACACACGCACGCACACACTCCTTTCCCGCCAAGTCGCCTTTCAAGGGAGACGGGCGGCCTAAAAATACAAATTAAATTTAAAAAGGATGGAATAAATAACAGAAACGATCAAACGGGGCCTAAGAGACCTTTGAACACGCGTTAATCTTGACTTTTAAGAGTATTGTATCATCATTATTATACAAATTATTCTACGCATCAATCTCCTACAAATAATCTACCTTTGACACATCTTTATACACATCCATACGTTCACTTTGAACTATACTTTTCTTATTTCCTTTATATTATTCAGCCAATTATACCAATTATCCCCAATTTCACAATCCTCCGACTCTTCTTTCTCTTTCAGTTTTAATGTCCACTTGTCCATTTCTGCACAATCTAGAATTATTATTATTATTATTATTTTTTGGAATTATTAATTCCTCAGTAGGCATAATATTTTGTCTCCGACATCGTGTGTGTATTCTTTTTGAAGCTCTCAAGAAATATGTCATAGAATATATTTAATCTTCTTTCTATAACTCCAGTAGAAACCATTCCGGGTTGAAATTCTATCCATTCTTCCAGTATCTCTCCATTATTTTAATCCCAAATATTTTTGGCCTTCCGGGCATAACCGCCACATACGGTAGAAGGTACTACCTTGGTTCTCTCCGCATTTCCAGCATGTTGGATTCACGTTAGGCGACATTTTGGCCACCATAACAACCATAATTTTATTTAATTTAATTTTTATTCATTTGTTTGTCGAACGTATCCAAGATAACAAGGGTAGGCATGATATATAAACAGGAACAAATGGAAGTAAATACAGATAAACGGGGACCGTAAGACAGGGATGGTAGGCACGCTGGTGGGCTGATTAGGAATGGGGTGAGGTCCACGGTAGACAGTTTGAGGTTGAAGGTGGTTTTTTGGGGGGGGGGGGTTGAGGATGTAACAACGGAGTCAGGGAATGAGTTCCAGCCTTGTGGCCGAAGTCGTATATTCTGCAATCGAGCTTGGAGTTTGTAATCGATCGTTTTGGCCTGTCCGTTGCTGTGGTTGAAGCGGAAGAAATCGTTGACAGGCAAGATCAGGAGTCGGCAACCCGGTGGCTCTGGAGCCGCCTGTGGCTCTGGAGCCCCCTGTGGCTCTGGAGCCGCCTGTGGCTCTGGAGCCGCCTGTGGCTCTGGAGCCGCCGGTGGCTCTTTTCATTCCTCTGCTGTCGGCTCCCTGTCGCCGGTCGGCTCCACAATTGATGGGTTTTTTGGTTAGGACAGGTAGAGGAAAAAAGGACGCCGTGCTAGGACGACACTATGGTTGGGGCAACCCGACTTCCAGTTGGCTCCAGAATTGAACAGTTGGGAAATGGTGGGGGTATGTGTGTGTTTGTTTCATGTAGTCCTATTTTACCTATAAGATTTTGTTTAATTTCCATTCGTCCCCTTTAGTCAGAGTAGAATAATCTCATTACAAACATTTTACTCTGCGATATAATCATTTCTGCTTTACCGTATTTTTTTTTTGCTTTTCTAGTATCCTTTGTACGATCAATTGCATTTTCTATTTCGTATCTAATACAGTATATGTAAAAATTAGAAAAAGACAAAAAAAAAGATGCAAGAAAAAGAAAGAAAAGTAATTCATATTTCCTCTTTGTTCCCATTTCACTAAATTTTACCTCTGAAATTATATTTAATTTTCATTCGTCACTTTTTGACCATACCACAATCTCATTACCAATACTTTACAGCATAATCATTTCTAATTTATCCTATTCTTTGTTTTTCTAATATCATTAAGTAATCGATTACATTTTCTATTTCATATCTAATATAGTATATATAAAAATTAGAAGGAGAAAAAAAAGGTGCAAGAAAAAGAAAGAAAAAAAAGTAATTCATATTTCCTCTTTGTTCTCATTTAACCAAATTTTACTTCTGAAATTATATTTAATTTTCATTCGTCACTTTTTGACCATACCACAATCTCATTACCAATACAGTATAATCATTTCTAATTTATCCTATTCTTCATTTTTCTAATATCACTAAGTAATCGATTACATTTTCTATTTCATATCTAATATAGTATATATAAAAATTAGAAGAAAAAAAGGTGCAAGAAAAAGAAAGGAAAAAAAGTAATTCATATTTCCTCTTTGTTCCCATTTACCGGTAACTAAATTTTACCTCTGAAATGATATTTATTTTTCATTCGTCACTTTTTGACCGTACCACAATCTCATTACCAATACTTTACAGTATAATCATTTCCAATTTATCCTATTCTTTGTTTTTCTGTTAAGTCATCGATTACCTTTTCTATTTCATATTAATATAATAATCCTCAAAATAAAAGGATTGAATAACTATAAAACCATCATAATTTCTCTATTATTTCTCTATAATTCTCTATAATTTCTCTACATTTTTCTCATGTATAATTATACGAGGGTAATAAACATAATCTTGATACGTGCTGAAATGGACAAGCTAACTTTAGAGTTGAAAAATAAAAGGACAAGTCAGCATCTGATGCCATTTGGGGCAGATTCTATCGCTAGTGGGAGCAGAAAGGAAGGTTTTAAGTTGGGAAAGTTTGCTGAGAGGGTAAATGAATGAGTATGAGATGAAAAGAGAACCAATGAGGTTGGGAAATATATGAGCGAAAGAATTGTATATTTGTAAATATTTGAATAATTGTATATAGGAAGTTATATTATATATCTATGCGATACCGACCAAACGTTATGTCAAACCAACTTGTTTTTCATTGTTTTGTTCAATAAAATATTTAAAAAATTAAAAGAAAGGAAAAGGAAAAGAGGAAGGAAGGAAGGAAGGAAGGAAGGAAGGAAGAAAGAAAGAAAGAAAGAAAGAAAGAAAGAAAGAAAGAAAGAAAGAA